TTTTATCTATTATTAGATATTTTTTATTATAATAATATATAAATATATTAAAATAACAAATAATTTAGTATTATATACAATAAATTTATACATATATAAACAAAATTCTAAATATTAACTAATATAAGGTAAAGTGCCTACATTATCTTCCTTTTTTTCTTTATATTAGTAATTTATTTGTTATTTTTCATTCTCTTATTATTTTCTTATCTCTATAATTCTTTCTTAATTATTTTTTTAAATCTTTATATATTAAAATATATTTTTTACACCATTTTTTTCTCTTAATACGTTTTATTTACCTATATTTCACGCTTTATTAATTTTTCTTGGGACTTCATCTTTTAACTTATTCACTCACATTTTATGATTATATTTTTATTTATTTACTCAACATTCACCCTCATTTAATCATTAATAATTTGTTTGTTATTAATTTTTTTCTATTATCTTTATTCCCTTAATGTTATGTTTCTTAATCACTTCTTACATCTCTATTTATTATTATATTTCATTTGAACCACAATCTCTATCTCATCCCTTATTGTGTGTATATTAAAATTGTTTGATTTTGTTTTAATGAATATATACAGAAAGCCTCTAATGGCTCTCATTTTCCTTTTTTTTAATAATTTTTTTATACATAATTTAGACTTTTGATAAAAAGATTGTTAAAACATTTTTAAGTTTCTCAGAGAATCTCTTTCTTTGGCTTTGTTTGATAACACTTTTTTGTACTTTAGTTTTTAGTTTTTATATATTTTTATTATTCTAAAAACATGTAAAATATTAATCAAAATAAATATTAAATACATTAAATATATATTATATATTTTTAGAATGTTAAAAGACTAAAACCAACAATTACAGTTACAAACCAGCAATCCTTAACTAAGCCAAATTTATTTTTAGGGTTTTTTTTTAGATGTTCTTATTTGTAGGTATTATTCTTCATTCACATCAATTTTACATTGCAATTTGTAGTCAATTCATAATTCTTGATATTTTAATAATTATTATTAAGAAATATGTTTATTTAAAATTATTAACTACCTAATGAAATATTATTATTAAAATTATAGTTGAGTTTAGGTTTCAAAAAACTTATTGGGTATTTATTTGATATTTATCAAAGATTTTAAAAGATTCATTGAGTATTTATTTAGAATTTATTAAAGATTTTAAAGGATTAATTGGGTATTTTTTTAGAAAAATAATTAGTACACACTCAATTAAAAATTATTAGTACACACTCTCTATTCAACATACTTTCTAACATTTATATTGATTTACATATTAAAATATAACATAAATACAACTGATTCAATTAATTCCTATATCTTATATACATGGTGCATCTTTAAGTGTGTAGTCTGTAGTTTCATATCAAAAATAATAATTGTTTAATAAATATATTATGCAATATGTTGAATTGAAGTGTTTACTGATTACTGTCCATTTTTTAGTATCTTTGAAGATTTTATAAAAATTTATTATAATTTTTAAAAAGCTCATTAAATATTTATTCAAGATGTATTAAAAAATTTACTCCCTTTGTTCAATTTTAGTAAACCTACTTTAATTTTTTAATTTTTTAATTTTTTTACATGAATTTCAAATAAAAATTTAA